TGCTGCTGCTGCACTGAGCTAGTGGTGGTTACTGCTGCTGCTGCACTGAGCTAGTGGTGGTTACTGCTGCTGCTGCTCTGAGCTAGTGGTGGTTACTGCTGCTGCTGCACTGAGCTAGTGGTGGTTACTGCTGCTGCTGCTCTGAGCTAGTGGTGGTTACTGCTGCTGCTGCTCTGAGCTAGTGGTGGTTACTGCTGCTGCTGCTCTGAGCTAGTGGTGGTTACTGCTGCTGCTGTTCTGAGCTAGTGGTGGTTACTGCTGCTGCTGCTCTGAGCTAGTGGTGGTTACTGCTGCTGCTGCTCTGAGCTAGTGGTGGTTACTGCTGCTGCTGCTCTGAGCTAGTGGTGGTTACTGCTGCTGGTCTGAGCTAGTGGTGGTTACTGCTGCTGCTGCACTGAGCTAGTGGTGGTTACTGCTGCTGCTGCACTGAGCTAGGGGTGGTTACTGCTGCTGCTGCACTGAGCTAGTGGTGGTTACTGCTGCTGCTGCTCTGAGCTAGTGGTGGTTACTGCTGCTGCTGCACTGAGCTAGTGGTGGTTACTGCTGCTGCTGCACTGAGCTAGTGGCGGTTACTGCTGCTGCTGCACTGAGCTAGTGGTGGTTACTGCTGCTGCTGCACTGAGCTAGTGGTGGTTACTGCTGCTGCTGCTCTGAGCTAGTGGTGGTTACTGCAGCTGCTGCAATGAGCTAGTGGTGGTTACTGCTGCTGCTGCACTGAGCTAGTGGTGGTTACTGCTGCTGCTGCACTGAGCTAGTGGTGGTTACTGCTGCTGCTGCACTGAGCTAGTGGTGGTTACTGCTGCTGCTGCACTGAGCTAGTGGTGGTTACTGCTGCTGCTGCTCTGAGCTAGTGGTGGTTACTGCTGCTGCTGCACTGAGCTAGTCGTGGTTACTGCTGCTGCTGCTCTGAGCTAGTGGTGATTACTGCTGCTGCTGCTCTGAGCTAGTGGTGGTTACTGCTGCTGCTGCAATGAGCTAGTCGTGGTTACTGCTGCTGCTGCAATGAGCTAGTCGTGGTTACTGCTGCTGCTGCAATGAGCTAGTGGTGGTTACTGCTGCTGCTGCAATGAGCTAGTGGTGGTTACTGCTGCTGCTGCAATGAGCTAGTCGTGGTTACTGCTGCTGCTGCTCTGAGCTAGTGGTGGTTACTGCTGCTGCTGCTCTGAGCTAGTGGTGGTTACTGCTGCTGCTGCTGCACAGAGTTAGTGGTGGTTACTGCTGCTGCTGCACTGAGCTAGTGGTGGTTACTGCTGCTGCTGCACAGAGCTAGTGGTGGTTACTGCTGCTGTTGCACTGAGCTAGTGGTGGTTACTGCTGCTGCTGCTGCACTGAGCTAGTGGTGGTTGCTGCTGCTGCACTGAGCTAGTGGTGGTTACTGCTGCTGCTGCTGCTGCACAGAGCTAGTGGTGGTTGCTGCTGCTGCTGCACAGAGCTAGTGGTGGTTACTGCTGCTGCTGCTGCACAGAGCTAGTGGTGGTTACTGCTGCTGCTGCACTGAGCTAGTGGTGGTTACTGCTGCTGCTGCTCTGAGCTAGTGGTGGTTACTGCTGCTGCTGCTGCACAGAGCTAGTGGTGGTTGCTGCTGCTGCTGCACTGAGCTAGTGGTGGTTGCTGCTGCAGTTGCACTGAGCTAGTGGTGGTTACTGCTGCTGCTGCACTGAGCTAGTGGTGGTTACTGCTGCTGCTGCACTGAGCTAGTGGTGGTTGCTGCTGCTGCTGCTCTGAGCTAGTGGTGGTTACTGCTGCTGCTGCTGCACAGAGCTAGTGGTGGTTACTGCTGCTGCTGCTGCACAAAGCTAGTGGTGGTTACTGCTGCTGCTGCTGCACAGAGCTAGTGGTGGTTACTGCTGCTGCTGCACTGAGCTAGTGGTGGTTACTGCTGCTGCTGCTGCTGCACAGAGCTAGTGGTGGTTACTGCTGCTGCTGCACTGAGCTAGTGGTGGTTACTGCTGCTGCTGCACTGAGCTAGTGGTGGTTACTGCTGCTGCTGCTCTGAGCTAGTGGTGGTTACTGCTGCTGCTGCTCTGAGCTAGTGGTGGTTACTGCTGCTGCTGCTCTGAGCTAGTGGTGGCTACTGCTGCTGCTGCACTGAGCTAGTGGTGGTTACTGCTGCTGCTGCTCTGAGCTAGTGGTGGTTACTGCTGCTGCTGCTCTGAGCTAGTGGTGGTTACTGCTGCTGCTGCTCTGAGCTAGTGGTGGTTACTGCTGCTGCTGCACTGAGCTAGTGGTGGTTACTGCTGCTGCTGCACTGAGCTAGTGGTGGTTACTGCTGCTGCTGCTCTGAGCTAGTGGTGGTTACTGCTGCTGCTGCTCTGAGCTAGTGGTGGTTACTGCTGCTGCTGCACTGAGCTAGTGGTGGTTACTGCTGCTGCTGCTCTGAGCTAGTGGTGGTTACTGCTGCTGCTGCTCTGAGCTAGTGGTGGCTACTGCTGCTGCTGCTCTGAGCTAGTGGTGGTTACTGCTGCTGCTGCTCTGAGCTAGTGGTGGTTACTGCTGCTGCTGCTCTGAGCTAGTGGTGGTTACTGCTGCTGCTGCACTGAGCTAGTGGTGGTTACTGCTGCTGCTGCACAGAGCTAGTGGTGGTTACTGCTGCTGTTGCACTGAGCTAGTGGTGGTTACTGCTGCTGCTGCACTGAGCTAGTGGTGGTTACTGCTGCTGCTGCTCTGAGCTAGTGGTGGTTACTGCTGCTGCTGCACTGAGCTAATGGTGGTTATTGCTGCTGCTGCTCTGAGCTAGTGGTGTTTACTGCTGCTGCTGCACTGCGCTTGTGGTAGTTACTGCTGATGCTACTGCTGCACCTTCGGCAGCATCGCCACTGAACTTCACCGCTCCGACTAAAGACGATCTCAGAGCGGCGCGTTCCGTGACCCCGTGGCCAACACGCAGCAGCAGCAGCGTGTGATTTAAAGTAATCCTGAGCGCACGCGCGCGCGCACGAAAATAAGTCTCCATTCATCTAACGCGTTACTTGAACGCGCTTAAAACGCCAGGCGATTTTATACACGTGTGTAGAGCTATACACGTGCGTAGAGCTATACACGCGCGCACGAAAATACGTCTCCATTCATCTAACGCGTTACTTGAACGCGCTTAAAACGCCAGGCGATTTTATACACGTGTGTAGAGCTATACACGTGCGTAGAGCTATACACGCGCGCACGAAAATAAGTCTCCATTCATCTAACGCGTTACTTGAACGCGCTTAAAACGCCAGGCGATTGTATACACGTGTGTAGAGCTATGTAGCATTAAAAAAACGAACACAGCGGTCAGGATGGTTAAACTGCGTGTTCAGTTTAATTCGTCACCATCATCGCCATCACCATCATGAACTCGCTTACCCATTTCCATTGTTAAACAATTATAAAAACCCGCTTTCTCCCACGCCCGTGGTTTAGTCGAGTGACAAATCTCGCGTACAAAGAGGAAACCACGGTGTGGGCAAAACCCTGACCAAGCAGGCGAGCAGATTTGTACAGGTTTGAGTACAGTTGTGCAGGCGAGTACAAACGGGGCTAATCTTGCCGCACAGGTGAAACCCAAACAGGTAAGTCGAGTACGTACAAAGGTAATTCCCAGCGTAGAGACGTGAGAGAAGCACCGTGCACAGGTAGTGAGCTCATTGCAACACAGGCGAGTCTAATCGGGCAGGTAAACCCCAGTGCATAGGTGAGCTCGGTATAGCGGTAGCTCGATCCCCAGCCACAAATGTAAATCCGGTGCACAGGTAAATGAGTCAACACAGGTACGTACGTACGACAACAAAAAAACCCCATCCACCCACCACACCTGTCGGGCAGGTGAGTTATTTGCACACGGACAAGCGAGGCGTGCAGGTGAGTTCGTATAAAAGTGGGAACTGAATTCGCACATGGCGAGTTCATTTTCTGCAGGTGAATTCGATGCAAAGGTGAGATCCGTATAGAGTCGAAGAGAGCGTGAAGGTGAGAGCACTGCACAGGTGAGATCAACGCACAGGTGAACTTATATCCCCGGTTGAAGTCGGTTCGTCAGAAAATGTGAGAGCAATGAACAGGTGAAGTCATATCCCGGGTTGAACTCGGTTCATCAGTAACGTTACGAGCACCGGACAGGTAAAGTCTCTACACAGGGGAGTTCTGCGTTGGCATCAAAGCGTGCTGAAGAAGCGTCGTGCGGGCGGAGCTGGAACGTCGGACAACGGCCCGAGAAGTCGCCGGGACCCCGCGTAGCGACACCGCAACTTTGAAGAGTAACTCTAAATGCAGCGTAGAGGTGAGCAGCCAGTTAAGATGAATATTCTTAGGTTTTTTCGGTAAAGTCACGTAGGTAAAATTTTTAAATGAATAAAAGTAAAATAAAACAAAATAAAAAATCACGACGTTTCGGAAGCAACACAAGCCTCCGTCTTCAGGTGGAACCGTCACAGCCACGACTTTTATTAATTTAATTTTTTTACCTACGTGACTTTACCGAAAAAAACCTAAGAATATGAATCCTTGCAGTCACGAAAGCTTCAAATCTAGAGTTAAGATGAAGCAGAGGCGAAACTGAAGCCGAATTGCACAGTACCCGTGGCGCAGGTGAATGGAGCTCAAAGGTACAAAAAGCCTGGGGCACGCGTGGCTTCAATTGGGCGCAGGTGAGCGTGGTGGCAACAACATCGTGAGCTCAGGGAGTGTGGCAATGGGTCAGGTGGGCCCCCCAATGTTGTGATTTGTCTCGCACGGCCGCACCCTCGAGGCTACTTTATCGCTTGCCATCATCCACATCGTCGTTACGCTCACGGTATCGAACATTGAACGCTGTCGGGGGGCGCTCCAACGCCCTGGTAAAATGCAGCCTTCGACAGCTCCGTGCTAGAAACAAAAAGTAAACCGCGTTTTCAATAACTGCTGTTCTTTGATACTGTTGCAAACAAATCTCATCATGGTGGTGGTCAAGGGGGGAGGGGGGGGGGGGCAACTCGTAACTTTGACCACCAGGGGGGGGGGCAGGGGTGGGGGGGGCAGGGGGGGGTGGGGGGCATGGGGGGGGGGCAAGGCACCCCCCTGTTCTGCCTCGCGTTCGTTACGCTATTCTGTCAATGCATTGCGCACGCAACACACTCGACATTCAAGTTTGTGACTGTACAGGCCACGCGCCCTCTCGTGGCTGTAGCCCTGCGCCCGTTGAGCGGAAACCACCGCGGGTTTTCGGAGCGCGACCGATCAACTCAACGTCTGCCGGGTTGCCCGACAGAGATGGGGACATTTCATTGGAGTCGAGAGACGGTAGGGGAGGGAGGCGGCGGATGAGATCCCAAGTGACTAGGTGGGAGAGTGGGTGGGTGGGTGGGTGAGAAGGTGAGTAAATATTGATTTGAAGCTTTCGTGACTGCAGGAATCCATGCGCTTTGGTTCTTTCGGTAAAGTCACGTGGGTAGAAAAATAATAGAGCACGACGTTTCGATCGCGATTGCTGCTGCGGGGTCCACTTTCTGCCCCGCCTCCCCCCCCCTTTGTCTTTCCTCCCCCTACTGCCGAGGCCTATTATATAACCTCGTGCCATGGCAGAGGTCGCCTACTTCAGCAGTTTGTTCTTGCTGTGGTTGTCCCACCTGATGACGATTGCTTGTGTTGCGACCGAAACGTCGTGATCTATTATTTTTCTACCTACGTGACTTTAGCGAAAGAACCAAAGAGTATGTGCGTAAATATGTGGGTGAATGAGAAGGTAAGTGAGTTAGTGGGTGAGTAGGTGAGTGAATAGATTAGTAGGTTTGCGAGTGAATGGCTGAATAGCTCGGTGAGTGGGTAAGTCGGTGAGCGAATAGGTAAGTGGATGAGTGAGCGAGTGCATGGTGAGTAGGTGAGTATTAGTGTGCCACTCAAAGCACGTAGAGGCAGAGGAGAGAATGAAGTGGCTGGAGAGGGTGGGGACTTTGAGCCCCTGTGACTGAGCAGAGTAGAAGGCGACTCAGGCAGTCAATGCTACGTTCCACAAGTCACACAGAGGAGCGAGCGATCAAACCGATACGCATATTGAGTGTCATCCTACTGCACGGGTGAACCCATATGACATATATATACACGCCTGTTATATACAAATACACAAACTTAGCAGTTGGGACACAGACTGACTTAGCCATACGCAAGAAGAGTTACAAACTTAGAGGAACGGGCCCGGTCCCACCCATGGGGGTGCGGGGGCTGGAGTGCGGGGGGGGGGGGGCGGGGGGCTGGATCGGCCACTGAACGGCATGGAGGGGTTCGCGCCGCCTCGCTTGACAACGCCGTGCTGTTCCCGCAGCACACGGGGGGACTTTGCCGCGGTTGTCAAGAACTGAGTCCAGAGTCTACGGGTCTCTGCCCAGTCATTGTTGACTGCACAGTCATTGGTGACTGGGCTGAGACCACCGACTCGCTTCGCTTGAGAACCCGGTTTTTAGAATTGAAGGACAGCTGAGAAGCCAGGACCCCGGAACCCGGGGACTCGGTGGAAGTGGCTTCGTGTCGTGTTCCCGACATGGACATTGCGGAACCCCCTGCAGCCACCCGATCACCGCTTGTGACCTTCAAATTCAATAACAAAATACATAAGAGGGTTTTTTTTTTGGGCTAGATCGCGTAAATAGAAATGTGTCGTTAAACCCGCCACCACGTGACGCAGCCAATTAGGAAGGTTTGTCACTTAAACAGAACACGCCAATTAATTACCAGTTCAGCACAACTGTGTTTGAGGGTAAACCAATCACGACATTTACAATTGGACGCGATTTCATCCTAAAAAAAAACCTCATGGATAAGATTGGTCGCGAAAGCCTACTACTATGACGTGTTTAAAACTAGCAAAAAAACAACTTTCACTCGACTACATGATGAACATCGATGGAAAGCAATTGGCTGACTGGACTGTGAAGTCACGTAGGTAAAAACGTAGGTAAAAACATTAAAAAGTAAAATAAAATAAAAATCAATCAAGTAAATGAGAGATTGCAGGAGCTACTGCTTGATACAGCTGTCGTGGCTGTGACGGTACCACCTGAAGACGGAAGCTTGTGTTGCCTCCGAAACGTCGTGATTTTTATTTTATTTCACTTTTTAACGTTTTTTACCTATGTGACTTTATCGAAAAAACCTAAGAATATGAATCCTTGCAGTCACGAAAGCTTCAAATCTAGAATTGTTTCTAACCATGCCGCCGCTTGTCTGAAGCCAGCAAATCGTCCTATACAGAACCCTCGTCTCGTCCACTAAATTAACCATCAGTCTATCTTTCTATATAGTGAATAATTTGTGTACGACTTGGGGAAAATGCTTATCGATTCAAAGAGCGACTCTACACATTAAAGGAGAGTAAACGTAAAAAAGTAACTGTTGACTTTTGTCAACTCGCCAAAAAAATAACCCCCGACTCAAATCACGTGTCTTGACCGACCCCATACACACAGCGTATTGCGTTTATATCCGTACTATGTATGTACATATATATACTATATATCATATATAAGTATATATACAGGGACTCCTGTAAGTGCAACTTTATTCCTGTCGATTCCAAACACGTCATATGGCGTGTGTCCACTAAACATGGAGAAATGGCTTTAAAAGTTGTATAATCTCCTCTAGATGTAATGCCACTGGTTCTTTGTGTTCTGCAGATGTAGATGCCACTGGTTCTTCGTGTTCTGCAGATGGAGATGCCACTGGATCTTCACGTTCTGCAGATGTAGATGCCACTGGTTCTTCGTTTTCTGTAGATGGAAATGCCACTGGTTCTTTGTTTTCTGTAGATGGAGATTCCACTGGTTCTTCGTGTTCTGCAGATGTAGATGCCACTGGTTCTTTATGTTCTGCAGATGTAGATGCCACTTGGTTCTTCGTGTTCTGCAGATGTAGATGCCACTGGGTTTTCACGTTCTGCAGATATACATGTCACAGGTTCTTCACGTTCTATAAATTTAGATGCCACTGGGTTTTCACGTTCTGCAGATGTAGATGTCACTGGGTTTTCACGTTCTGCAGATGTAGATGTCACTGGGTTTTCACGTTCTGCAGATGTAGATGTCACTGGGTGTTCACGTTCTGCAGATGTAGATGCCACTGGTTCTTTATGTTCTGCAGATGTAGATGCCACCTGGTTCTTCGTGTTCTGCAGATGTAGATGCCACTGGTTCTTCGTGTTCTGCAGATGTAGATGCGACTGGTTCTTCACGTTATGCAGATGTACATGTCACTGGTTCTTCACATTCTATATATTTAGATGCCACTGGTTCTTCGCGTTCTGCAGATGTAGATGCCACTGGTTCTTCACGTTCTGCAGATGTAGATGCCACTGGTTCTTCACGTTCTGCATATGTAGATACCACTGGTTCTTTATGTTCTGCAGATGTAGATGCCACTGGTTTTTTATGTTCTGCAGATGTAGATGCCACCTGGTTCTTCGTGTTCTGCAGATGTAGATGCGACTGGTTCTTCACGTTCTGCAGATGTACATGTCACTGGTTCTTCACATTCTATAGATGTAGATGCCACTGGTTCTTCGCGTTCTTTCGATGTAGATGCCACTGGTTCTTCACGTTCTGCAGATGTACATGTCACTGGTTCTTCACATTCTATAGATTTAGATGCCACTGGTTCTTCGCGTTCTTTCGATGTAGATGCCACTGGTTCTTCACGTTCTGCAGATGTACATGTCACTGGTTCTTCACGTTCTATAGATGTAGATGCCACTGGTTCTTCGCGTTCTGCAGATGTAGATGCCACTGGTTCTTCACGTTCTGCAGATGTAGATGCCACTGGTTCTTTATGTTCTGCAGATGTAGATGCCACTGGTTCTTTATGTTCTGCAGATGTAGATGCCACCTGGTTCTTCGTGTTCTGCAGATGTAGATGCCACTGGTTCTTCGCGTTCTTTCGATGTAGATGCCACTGGTTCTTCACGTTCTGCAGATGTACATGTCACTGGTTCTTCACATTCTATAGATTTAGATGCCACTGGTTCTTCGCGTTTTTTTGATGTAGATGCCACTGGTTCTTCGCGTTCTTTTGATGTAGATGCCACTGGTTCTTCACGTTCTGCAGATGTAGATGCCACTGGTTCTTCACGTTCTGCAGATGTAGATGCCACTGGTTTTTCACGTTCTGCAGATGTACATGTCACTGGTTATTCACATTCTAGAGATTTAGATGCCACTGGTTCTTCGCGTTCTTTCGATGTAGATGCCACCTGGTTCTTTATGTTCTGCAGATGTAGATGCCACCTGGTTCTTCGTGTTCTGCAGATGTAGATGCCACTGGTTCTTTATGTTCTGCAGATGTACGACTCGCGGTCCAAACGGGCAACTTGACATGCGGACCAGGTTTGTTCGTATCCGAGTTTGTAAGTCGAATGTTCGTAAGTAGAGGAGTCTCGGTCTGTATGTATATGTGCACAACAGCAGCCGCCATTTTCACACTCGGTGGCAGTGACGTCACCACGCTATTTGTGCCAGGCCAGGTGCACCTCGAAGGCTGTCACGAAGGTGTGGAAGGCGCTGCTGCTGTTGCCAGGAGCTCCACGGAACAGACCCAGATAAGTGCCATTAGTGGACTCCTGTGCCAGGCTAGGTGCAGGAGGAGGTCCCGGGACAGACCCAGGCAGGTGCCACATTGGTTGACCGACCTTAACTTGGCAGAGGCACCTCCTGTGCTGCCAAATGTGCCAACAATGACAACAGCCGCCATTGACCACTAAGTGGCGGTGATGTCACCACAGCGCTTGTGCCAGGCCGGGTGCACTTTGAGGCCACTTGAAGCGTCGAATGCTCGCTGGCAGGAGGTCACAGAACAGACTCGGGTGCCACGGGTTGACCGACTTAGACAACTGGCTAACAATATGTACATACACGCACACCTTTCTTGACGTTCGTCCAACGTGGAAGAGTAGGCCAAACACACCTAGATCCCAGAGGCTTGAATCTTTACCTTTCCAGGTATTGTACATACACACGACTTATGCAATGTACACAGTATTTATCTTAAATCTTTTTTATACAATTTGTTTAGGTAGTGACGTATATATATAACATATGTCTGAGACTATTGTGCTAAATAGAACTGGATTCACAATTGACTGCTTTGGGGCAGATCGCTTCAGTAACTCGCCCGACGATGCTGGTTGTAACTTCCAGCGAAGCGTCCGTGTCGACCCAATTGCTGTGCGTATGTTGAACTGAACTTCCTTCACACCGTACGTAGCCAACCACCCTCGCCAGAGGTGCGACACACATTGTGTGTGGATCACTCTCTCCCCGCACCTCCAATCGGCACGGTTGGTTACGTACGGTACGAAAGAAGTTGAACACGCACACACACAAAGTCGAGGGGTCCCTTAATCACTTTCCTCTGCCTACCACTTTTCCCTTTGCAAATCCAGATTGCAAAATTATTTCTGTTGAACTGCTTTTTCCGTGCCAGTTTGTCATTCTCCCGCACCTCCGATCAGCAAGGTTGGTTACGTACGGTGCGAAATGAGTTAAACACGCGCACACACGAAGGAGCGCAGACCACAGCGGGTTCACCGTGCGGCCCGTAACTGTGGCTTGTCTTGAGTGTATCTCGATGGGTCTCTGTGTCTCATTGGGTCTCTATGGGTTGATTTTATGGTCCATCGTTTGGGTCACATGACCACAGTCACACGGCCGTGGGCTCGTGTCTCTAACAATAAATTGGCAGTGTTTGTTTGACGTGGCAATGTTGCTACATCGGCCGTATCGGGTGGAAGAGGGTACTATTACACACGCAATTCTTTTTTTTTTTTACCGACACGATCCGACTCCAAAAAGTCAGCGGCGAATCGGCGGCTCGCTCCGTTCCACAACTAAACACGTGACCTTCACGTCGGCGGCACCACGGAGGAGCCTGGGTTGGACTCCCGACCTCGGAGTGCCAGTCTGCGTGGAGCGTGCACATTCTACACATTCTCTCTCCCCCCCCCCCCCCCCCCCCCCCCCCCGTTCCCTGCCACGGGGCTTCCTCTGCGTTCTCTCGTTTCATCCCATGGCGACAACCCACACACGCACAAACAACGGAAACAACGGATATCCACCAAATCATCACCACTTGCTAAATAATCACCGCAAACATCACTGCATTCGCATCGCACGGAGCAGCAACAGCAGCAGCATCGCCGCCACCCCCCCCGTACTGTGAACACATGGCAGGACCCCCCGCACCCCTGCAAAGGAGTCTTGTGGCTCCGTGAGGCTTTCCAGGCTAAACACGCTCACGCATAGCGGCTCCCAATGAGCAACTTCACACGCAGGACGTTGCGACGGAAAAGCCATCGTCCTTCCCTGGGTGGATAGGAGGAGTAGCACCACTTTGAGGGAAATCAACAGGGGTTGTCCTGTTGCTGCACTGGTCCCCGGCATAGTAACGTGGAATTTCCACCACTGGCTCTGCTGCTATTGGCCGTTGACGCGAGGTGGTGTGTTGTGTGTGCGTCCTGTGCAGTGTACGTGGGAGTGGTGGTGGAGCGGTGAGCGCACTGCGCGTGTCGTCCGTGTGTACCCTGTATGTCTGCCTGCACGTCACCCACATCTGTCCATCACTCCGCGTACGTTACCGGCGCGCGTGTCCACGTTGCACGGCGTGACCCCATAGTGTGCCACGTGCCGTCGCGCGTTGTCGTCACGTGCCACGAGTCGTCACGTGCCACCACGCGTGCGTCATGACGTCTCGTAACGTTAATCAACACGCGTGTCAACACGTGCCGTCACGCGTGCCCTCGTCACATGTTGTAGGCTACGTAGATGGGGTCGAGTTTGTCCGCGAAGAATCCGTCACGCAGGTGCAAGCGCTGCTTCTCCCCGCGCGAGTTGATGGGAATGACGCCCACGTCCACCACCACCACGACGCCAACCTGCACCACCCGGGGGGGGGAAAGACGCCGTCGTTACCGCGGTGGACGAGAGAGGGATGGGACGGGTGGAGGGATGGACAACACCACCACCAAAACAGGACAAAGATCCCCCGTGCGTCGCCTTAACAGACGGTAGGGGAAAGTCTACGTGTTAATAAGTATAACCAGTAAAAACAAAGTTTTTCACTCTAAATCCTTTATATGCGTGGCGGCTAGAGTCCTCTCGTCCTCTGGCTTGAGATGGCTGCCACCTATGGGTCAGATGATTGTCTGCCAGTATTAAGCAATTGGTAATTAAATATAATATTTTTGTCCTAAAAAGTGTAAAATTTTGGAAAAAAAATTTCACGAACATTAATTGTCACGCACAACGAGTCTGTGTGGAACATGTCAGCTCGATTGGATCACGGGAAGTGGGTTAAAAAACGACTGAAAGATTTGCACAGTCCTAAGCAAGCAAGCGAACTTAATATAAAGGATTTAAAAATATCTTTGCCTGTGGAGGACGCGGGGATCGATCCCGCGACCTTTGGCATAGGAAGCGAGGGCGCTACCAACTGCGGTACTCCGCCACGGCCTGTGGAGGTGTCATGCTCTGGGCTCCTACACTGTGACGTTCAGCCAAAGCCATGAATGAGTTGTATTTGAATAAATGTAAAATAAGAATTTTTGGCCTAAAAAGTGTAAAATTTTGGGAAAATTTTTTCACGAACATTAATTGTCACGCACAACGAGTCTGTGTGCAAAATGTCAGCTCGATTGGATCACGGGAAGTGGGTTAAAAAACGACCGAAAGATTTGCACGGTCGCAAGCAAGCAAGCGAACTTAATATAAAGGATTTTAAAAGGGGAAAGTGCTGTTAGTGGGTTGCCCCTATGAAGGCCGGCACGGCACTCCACGCCTTTGTCTCCCGAGTGGCGATGTTTACTACACACATACCAGGTACTCATTTGAGGCTGAGTCGATCTAGGGGAGGCTCTGCACCGATTGAGATAATGGTCAATGGTGTTGGCCGTGAGCGGGAGTCGAACTCGGGTCGCCGGGTTGTAGCGCTACACCACTGCTCCCCACAACCACCACCACTACAACCGTCACCCCGAAATCTCAACGTCACCACCACCACCATTCTCACCGACACCCCACCAGCATCGTCCTCACCATCATCACAACCACCACCATCATCATTGTCATACCACCATCAACTTCATCACCGCAATCACCAAACTCTTCATCGGCACGTTCCACCACCATCATGAAGACTTTGAAACAGACAGCTGGGGACAGTGTGAGCACCACCTAGTAATACGTGCAACGTTGGAACAACGTTCCACCAACGTTCCACGCATTCTGGGCACCCCAACCCCTAGCCCCCTACCCACTCGAGAGTGGGGGCTGTGACGAGGGCAACAATGTCACCCCCCCCCCCACCAGCCCCCCCCCCCCCACCCACCAGGAGGTGATGCTCCTCGAGGGCGGTGGCCGTGACGAGGGCGACGAGGTCGAGGGCCTCCTGCTCGGAGCCCTGCAGCTCGAGCACCACCACCAGCAGGTCGGTCCACTCGAACACCGCACTGGTGACACCACAACAATTACACAACAACAACTATTACACAACAACAACAATGACTACAGCCTCAGCACCACCACCAGCAGGTCGGTCCACTCGAACACCGCACTGGTGACACCACAACAATTACTCAACAACAACAACTATTACACAACAACAACAATGACTACAGCCTCGGCACCACCACCAGCAGGTCGGTCCACTCGAACACGGCGCTGATGACCACACACCCATTACTCGTCAACAACAACAACAACTATTACTCGTCAACAACAACAATTACTACTGCCTTAGCACCACCACGAGCCGACTACCCCGAGCCAGGCTGCCCCGCAGACTCGCGCTCCACGTGACGCTACGCCGCCCCCCTCACTTGCACGCCGAAAGTGTGCGTGCGTGTGTGTGCGCGTGTGCGTGTGTGTGTGCGCGTGTGTGTGCGTGCGTGTGTGCGTGTGTGTGTGTGTCTGTGCGCGTGTGTGTGTGCGTGTGTGTGTGTGCGCGTGCCCCCCGGGACCCCCCCCCCCCCACCCACCACTCGGCGATGTTGCGGTGGGCGCGCAGGATGGACGACTCGATGTCGATGGGGTGGTAGCGCAGCCCCTTGAGCTCCATCGCCTCCTCCAGCGCGCCCACCACGTACAGCGCGTCGTGGCGCTCTGCACGCACACGCACACACACACGCACGCACACGCACGCACACGCACATACACACGCACACACGCACGCACACGCACGCACACACACGCACACGCACATACACACGCACACACACACGCACATGCACACGCACGCACACGCACATACACACGCACGCACACGCACATACGCACACACACACGCACACACGCACACGCACACACACACGCACGCACATACACGCACGCACATACACGCACGCGCACACGCACGCAACACAGAGAAAGATCTCCCCCGTGTAGCCTTAACAGACTCTTGAGACATCTGCTGTTAGCGAGCACCAAGGAAAGTCGGGATGGCCCCCACACACACAAACACACACAGACGTGAAAAAATACATCGTCCTGCAACACATTCTGGCACGTAAGACAGGCACGTACGTACACACGCATGCACATACACACGCGTGCACAGACGCACAAACACACGAACATACATGCATATGCACACTCGCACACAGACGCACGAACATACATACATACATATGCGCGCACACACACACACAGACACACAAAGATCCCCCGTATAGCCTTAACAGACTGTAGGGACAAGTGCTGTTAGTGAGCACCTATGAAGGCCGGAACGGTACACGAGGGGGTGGGTGGCCAGCACCACGCCCGACCGCCTTTGTCTCCCCAGTGGCGATGTTTACACACCGCACCAGGTACTCATTCAGGCTGAGTCGACCTAGGGGAGGCCCAGGACCGGTTCAGATAATCGTCACTGGTGTTGGCCGTGAGCGGGAATCGAACCCGGGTCGCTAAGTTCATAGTGCAGCGCGCTAACCGCTACACTACCGCTCCCCCACTATGCATGCAGACACACACAGGAACACACACACACAGACGAGCACGCGCACCACCACTGGCGTCGGTGAGCTCCGTGCGCCGCAGGAAGCCCAGGTAGCCGGTGCGCGCCCACGCCGTGTGCGTGTCGCCGAAGCTGAGCCGTGCTCCAAAGTGCTCGGAGCAGCGAGCGTCGTCGCCGTGCACCGAGAAGTAGCCGCTGGCGCTGTGCGGGCTGCTCACCCAGATCTACGGAGACAAAGATCCCCCGCGTAGCCTCGACACACCGTTGGGGCAAGTGCTGTTAGCGGGTGGGTGGAGCCAGCAACCACGCCCGGCCGCCTTTGTCTCCCCGGTGGCGACGTTTACGCACCGCGCCAGGTCCTCGTTTGAGGCCGAGTCGACCTCCGCGAGGCCCACGGCAGGTTCAGGTAATCGTCTCCGGCCGCGGTTGACCGAGCGGGACTTGAACCCGGGTGGCTGGGTTTGTGGTGCAGTTATTCCGCGTTTCCTCGGTGCATAACCCTGTCTGTCTGTGTCTGCATGTCACCCCTTCTATCCATCACTCTGTGCGTCCACGCACGTGCATGTCTCCCCCCCTCCCCCCCATGTCTGTCCGTACCGTGTCTCCCCCCTCTCCCCCGTGTCTGTCCGTGCGTGTCTCCCCCCCCCCCCCACCCGTGTCTGTCCGCGTCACCTCCCGCACCCATCCACGCTACCCGCCGGCGTGAGCCCCTCGTGCGTCACGTGCTGCCTGTGAAGGCTACAAGGGGGGGGGGCTTTGTTTTTGGGTGGGGGGGGGGTGTGGTTTGTTGGGGGCCCCACCTCCCCGAGGTGGGAGTCCCCGAGGGGACCCCGGTGCTCGGGGCTCACGATGATGACCCGCACGCCCGGCAGGATCTGAGGGGACACGGGGACACGGGGCGACGGGGAGATACAAGGACAGAGATACAAGGTGGGACAGACAAACATAGATGGGGACACGTGGGGGGACACGGGGAGACACGGGGAGATACGGGGACATGCAGGGACACAGGGAGATGAGTAGATACAAGGAGACACGGGGAGACGCATGGGGACATGTGAAGACACACGGGGACAAGAGGAGACAGAAAAGGGACATGGAGACAAGGGAAAGTGGGGAGGCAAAGATTGATTAGTTTTGGAAAACATCGTGAACAGTCAATAAAAAGAATGAGTCTATAGCTACCAGACCTGGACCAGTCACTGGCAGGGCTAGCCACGTGTAGACACTGACCTTGCCTGACTCCATCAGTGCGACACTGTGAGGAGCTCCCCTCTCCACAATCCGAACCCTGCACACACACACAAGACAAAGATCCCCCGTGTAGCCTTAACAGACTGTTGGGACAAGTGCTGTTAGCGAGCACCTATGAAAGCCGGCACGGCACACGAGGGGGGGGGGAGGTGGCGAGCGCCACGCCCGGCCGCCTTTGTCTCCCCAGTGGCGATCTTTACACACCGCACCAGGTACTCGTTTGTGGCCGAGTCGAGCGGGAATCGAACGCTGTCTACCAGGTTCGTAGCTCGGCGTGCTAACCACTACACACGGGTACACGCGCACACACGGGTACACACACCACACACGTGTGTGTGTGTGTGGTTGTGCATACCGGTCGTGCCACAGCGCCCTCGTGTCCACGTACACCGTCGTGGGGTCGGGCCCTGCCGCACTCTGCTGAGAAACACGCGGCCAGCAGCACACCACTCGGCACCATGGCCAACATACCACTCAACATACCACTCAACACACCACTCAGCACACCACTCGGCATACCACTCGGCACACCACTCAGCACACACTCAGCACACCACTCAGCACACCACTCAGCATACCACTCAGCATACCACTCGGCACCATGGCCAACATACCACTCACAATACCACTCAACACACCACTCAGCACACCACTCAGCATACCACTCGGCACAACCACTCAGCATACCACTCAGCACACCACTCAGCACACACTCAGCACACCACTCAGCATACCACTCGGCACCATGGCCAACGTACCGCTCAGCATACCACTCAGCATACCACTCAGCACACCACTCAGCACACCACTCGGCACACCACTCGGCACACTACTCGGCACACCCACTTGGCACACCACTCGGCACACACTCAGCACACCACTCGGCACCATGGCCAACGTACCGCTCAGCATACCACTCAGCACACCACTCAGCATACCGCTCAACGTACCACTCGGCACACCACGCTCAGCACCATGATCAACATACCACTCGGCACACCCGCTCGGCACACCGCTCGGCACACCGCTCGGCACACCGCTCGGCACACCGCTCGGCACCATGATCAACATACCACTCGGCACCATGATCAACATACCACTCGACACACCGCTCGGCACACCACTCGGCACCATGATCACATACCACTCGGCACACCGCTCAGCACCACGATCAACACCACGGCCAGCACAATGCTCATCACACCGCTCAGCGCACAAGCCCACAATCCCCTACCAAATCACGCACATCACACACACAGAGATCCCCATAAAGCCTGAAATTCAACTAACTATTGTTAATTTGACCAGGTAAGGCCCACAGAGCTATGTAGCTATTTTTCATAAGCGACCTGGCCACAAATGACAGCTCAACGAAGTGGCTTATCATGCGTGCTGATGTTGATTCTCAATGCGGAGGGAAAAACCCGAGGACCCGAAGCAAAATCCACGCGACTACAGGGAGAGAGACGCACAAACTCCAAATTTACAGCAGCAGGCGTCAGGGTCGGGATCGAACCCACGACCTCCTGTATACCAGGCAAGATAGTTAACATCTCCCAGCCACTGTGCTGTTAGCGAGCACCCATTAAGGCCGGTAAAGCACATGGGTGGTCAAGCACCACACCAGGCCGGCCTTTGCCACCCGAGGGATGGTTAACACACCACGCCAGTTACTCTGTTAGGGCTCAGTCGACCTAGAGGAGGCCCAGTGAGCGGCTCGGATTTTCGTCACCGATGTTGGCTGTGAGCGGGAATTGAACTCCGGCTGTGCGGGGTTCGTTTAAGATGCAATTGTAGTTTTATTTTCTCTACGCTCACACGCGGCGGCTGACCACCGCGTGCCACATTTGCCCTGGACGTTGAATAGACGTCCGGCAAGCCGGTGACCAGTTTCCCAACCGGTTGAACCCGCAGGCGGTGACGGCTAACGCACACAAGCCGCCTTGAACCGCACGGCACACGAGCAGGAGGGGTGGCGGACGAGGAGGAAGACGAGGAGGAGGAGGATTCCGACCTCTGACCTTTACCTGCTCTGACGTCTTCCCGAGCCTGTGAGGCTGGAGGTGGCGCGGTGGGTGGGAGGGGCCAGGGGGAGAGGGGGAGAGGGGGAGAGGAGGGCAGGAAGGCATATTAGGACGGGCCACCAGTCGGACGGGGGGCAGGGGGGGGGGGCAGGCGGTGCGGCCCGAGGTTGAGAAGGGACGCGGAGGAGCCGGCGTGAGGGTTTGATTCGGGGGCGAGTGCAGGGCGGGCGAGCAGAGAAGCAGAGGTTGGTGCAGGGCGGTGTGGAGATGTGCAAGTAGATGCAGGGACGTGCAGGGCATTGCATGGAGGTGGAGGAAGGTTCAAGGTAAGTGTACGGAGGTACACGGTGGTGTAGGTAGGTGTAGGGAGGTGCAGGGAGGTGCAGGGAGGTGCAGGGTGGTGCAGGGAGGTACACGGTGGTGTAGGGAGGTGTAGGGAGGTACACGGTGGTGTAGGGAGGTGTAGGGAGGTACACGGTGGTGTAGGGAGGTGTAGGGAGGTGCAGGTAGGTGCAGGGAGGTGCAGGGAGGTGCAGGGAGGTACACGGTGGTGTAGGGAGGTGTAGGGAGGTACACGGTGGTGTAGGGAGGTGTAGGGAGGTACACGGTGGTGTAGGGAGGTGCAGGGAGGTGCAGGGTGGTGTGGGGAGGTGCAGGGTGGCACACCTGCAGGCACACGGCGGGGCTGACGCGGCAGCCGAAGGCGGTGGTGACGGCGCGGGCGTGCAGGCCCAGGTGGCGGAACAGCTTGGAGAAGGAGAGCGTGAGGGTGGCGCGCGGACGCTCCTCCGCCACCACCACGCACGTGCGCACCCGCGACAGGTCCACGCCACGCGCCTGCACGCGGCACACCGCCGTGCACAGCACACCGCACGCAGCACACCGACACGCGCAGCACACCGCACGCAGCACACCGACACGCGCAGCACACCGCGCGCAGCACACCGCACACAGCACACCAGCACATCGACACACACAGAACACCGCACACACAGCACGCAGACACACACACCGCACGCACAGTCACATTCTTCTTCTTCGTGTGGCGTTTGAGCAAAGCAGCAGCGGCAGCAGCGGCGGCGGGGCTACAACGCGTACATCTAATGTCATCAGCCAGGCCAGCCGAGTTGAGTAGCCCACTTGTGCCGCCAGGGTACGTGTACTCTCGATTGGGTTCGTCGCTTCTGAAACATAAGCTCACAGCTCGGTGGGCTTTTCCTTCACCAGTTGTGTACATGTCTGTTTTTACAGTGATCTGTTTACCGTTCTTCTACTTTGCACTTCGTCGTGTTTGTATTGTTGTTGTTGTAACGTTCCGACCCCCGTGCCCCTACTGGGACATCTGTCAAAAGAGAGCTTTATAGATCATCGGATTCCTCCTGCGTAACGAAATATTCCTGAGCGGTCGTGTAGCGCCGTACACTTCTCGTACACCTCCGACCACCTAACGCCCTGACCAGCCCCCCCCCCACCAGCCCCCCCCCCCACCAGCCCCCCCCCCCCCCCCACCAGCCCCCCCCCCCCCCCCCCCACCTTGAGTGCGTCGGTCTGGGTGCCGAGACCGCGTGTGCACAGCTCCATGGCGGAGTAGGAGCAGAAGGTGGTCCCGCACGCGGTACTGGCTCACGGCCGACAGCCACAGGGACACGTTCAGCTCCAGCTCCGACGGCGGGATGAGGATCGACTGGTGGCCCGAGTACACGCTGCACACACACACACACACGCACGCATGTGTCTGTGAGCAAGCGTGCGTACGCAGCGCGCGTACGTAGCGCGCGTACGTAATGCGCGCTCACGAGCATTACGTAAACAGGCACGTGTACGTAACGTGCTTGTTTGCGTACACGCATCTTTGTGTGTACATAAACACGCGCGCGCGCCCACGCGCATACATGGGACGTGCATGCGCACGCAAGACGAGCGAGCAAGTGAACGCACGAACGGACGGACTAACCACGTGGGCAAATAAGTGAACGCACGAGCGGGCGGGCAAGCGAACCGACGAACGAGTGGGTGAGCGAGTGTGTGTGCAAGCGACCCCAACCGGGACGCGCCGCCGCCACCGCCGCACACCTGCTGAGACACCAGAGCACGAAGCCCATGCCGCAGTAGGGGTCGAGGCAGAGGGCGACCTCGCGCGACGGGTACAGCTCGCACTGCAGCTTGATGGAGCGGCACAGCGCGCCCACCGCACACGTGCGGCATCTGCGGCGGCGAGGGGCACACACACGCACAGCACGATGATGACGGCCGCTCATCCTGGGGGTTAGGGGCAGCGTGTGGCTGGTGAGCGCTGGACCCCCCCCCCCCCCCGCGCACCTTGACCCCGGCGAGCGTGCCGCTGGTGGAGACGCTGTAGTCGAGGTAGCAGAGCGCGTCGGGGTCCGCAGGGCGAGTAGAGCTGCGTGGGCCTCCGCTTGGGCAGTCGTCTGGGGCGCGGGAGAGACGCCAACACCGCGACTCGCCAACCACGCCCAACCACACTCAACCACCACCAACACTCGCCCACCACGCTCACCACGCTCAACCACGCTCAACCACCACCACTCGCCCACCACTCAAGCACGCTCGGCTGTGAGCTCGAGGGCAGTAGTGCAGCAGCACGGTCGGTAGTGCAGAGTGTAGTGCAAGTGGTAGTGTGGTAGTGCAGTGTTGCATTGTGATAGTGTGGATAGTCCTGTGTGGTAGTGCAGGGTGGTAGGGTGGTAGTGCAGGTGGTAGTTCAAGGTGGCAGTGCAGGTGGTAGTGCAAGGTGGTAGTGCAGTGGGGGGAGGCATTGCGGTGGCTGCAGTGCTGGGTGGTAGTGCGGCAGCGCTGCGTGGTGATGGTGGTGGTAGTGCAGGGTGGTAGTGTAGCAGTGCAGGGTGGTAGTGCGGCAGCTCTGCGTGGTGGTGGTGGTGGCGGTGGGACCTGTGTCGATGATGAGCGGCCAGGCTCTGGCGTCCAGCGCGGGCCCCGCGTCCTTGGAGCGCAGCAGCTTCACCACGGCCTGCGACGTGAGATGCAGGCCGACTTGCTCACCTGAGCCGACGCCGGTCACGGGGTCACGGGGTCACGGTCAGAGGAGGCACACAGCTCAGGAGGACAGAGGTCGAGGGGTCAGAGCGGTCTTCTGCACTCATTTTCAGAGGTGGGGGGGGGGGGGCACTGTCGCGCACATGACGTCACCGGTGTGAAGAGGGCCCACCACGCGCTTACAGCCCTTGCTGGGTTTCACAGCAGCAGCAAGACCATGATGATGATGGGGGGTGTTGTTATGATGATGGGGGGGGGGGGGGTGTTGTGATGCTGATGGGGTTTGTGATGATGATGGGTGGGGGTGTGTTGTGTGATGATGATGGGAGTGTTGTGATGATGATGGGAGTGTTGTGATGATGATGGGGGGGTGGGGGTGTTGTGATGATGATGGGGGGGTGTTGTGATGATGATGGGGGGGGTGTTGTGATGATGATGGGGGAGTGTTGTGATGATATGGGGGAGTGTTGTGATGATGATGGGGGGGGTGTTGTGATGATGATGGGGGAGTGTTGTGATGATGATGGGGGTGTTGTGATGATGATGGGGGTGTTGTGATGATGATGGGGGTGTTGTGATGATGATGGGGGTGTTGTGATGATGATGGGGGGTGTTGTGATGGGGGGGTGTTGTGATGATGATGGGGGGTGTTGTGATGATGATGGGGGGTGTTGTGATGATGATGGGGGAGTGTTGTTGATGATGGGTGTTGTGATGATGATGGGGGTGTTGTGATGATGATGGGGGTGTTGTGATGATGATGAGGGGGGTTGTGATGTGATGGGGTGTTGTGATGATGATGGGAGTGTTGTGATGATGATGGGGGGGGTGTTGTGATGAGATGGGGGGGGTTGTGATGATGATGGGGGGGGTTGTGAGTGATGGGGGTGTTGTGATGATGATGGATGGGGGGGTGTTGTGATGATGATGGGGGTTGTGATGATGATGGGGGGTGTTGTGATGATGATGGGGGGGGGTGTTGTGATGATGATGGGGGGGTGTGTGATGCTGATGGGGTGTTGTGATGATGATGGGGGGGTGTTGTGATGATGATGGTGGGTTGTGATGATGATGGGGGTGTGATGATGATGGGGGGGTGTTGTGATGATGATGGGGGTGTTGTGATGATGATGGGGGGGTGTGATGATGATGGGGTGTTGTGATGATGATGGGGGGGGGGTGTTGTGATGATGGGGGGGTGTTGTGATGATGATGGGGGGTGTTGTGATGATGATGGGGGAGTGTTGTGATGATGATGGGGGGGTGTTGTGATGATGATGGGGGAGTGTTGTTATGATGATGGGGGAGTGTTGTATGATGATGGGGGAGTGTGTTATGATGATGGGGGAGTGTTGTTATGATGATGGGGGTGTTGTGATGATGGGGGGGTTGTGATGATGATGGGGGTGTTGTGATGATGATGGGGGTGTTGTATGATGATGGGGGTGTTGTGATGATGATGGGGTGTTGTGATGATGATGGGGGTGTTGTGATGATGATGGGGGGGTGTTGTGATGATGGGAGTGTTGTGATGATGATGGGGGGGGGGGTGTTGTGATGATGATGGGGGGGGGTGTTGTGATGATGATGGGGGGGGGTGTTGTGATGATGATGGGGGGGGTGTTGTGATGTGATGGGGTGTTGTGTGATGATGGGGGGGTGTTGTGATGATGATGGGGGGTGTTGTGATGATGATGGGGGGGGGGTGTTGTGATGCTGATGGGGGTGTTGTGATGATGATGGGGGGGTGTTGTGATGATGTGGGAGTGTTGTGATGATGATGGGAGTGTTGTGATGATGATGGGGGGGGGGGTGTTGTGATGATGATGGGGGGGTGTGATGATGATGGGGGGTGTTGTGATGATGATGGGGGTGTTTGTGAGATGATGGGGGAGTGTTGTGATGATGATGGGGGAGTGTTGTGATGATGATGGGGGGGGTGTTGTGATGATGATGGGGGAGTGTTGTTGATGATGGGGGAGTGTTGTATGATGATGGGGGAGTGTTGTTATGATGATGGGGTGTTGTTATGATGATGGGGGTGTTGTGATGATGATGGGGGTGTTGTGATGATGATGGGGGTGTTGTGATGATGATGGGGTGTTGTGATGATGATGGGGTGTTGTGATGATGGGGGTGTTGTGATGATGATGGGGGGGTGTTGTGATGATGATGGGGGGTGTTGTGATGATGATGGGAGTGTTGTGATGATGATGGGGGGGTGTTGTGATGCTGATGGGGGTGTGATGCTGATGGGGGTGTTGTGATGATGATGGGGGTGTTGTGATGATGATGGGGGTGTTGTGATGATGGGGGGTGTTGTGATGATGATGGGGGGTGTTGTGATGATGATGGGGGGGGGTTGTGATGATGATGGGGAGTGTTGTGATGATGATGGGGGAGTGTTGTTATGATGATGGGGGTGTTGTGATGATGATGGGGGGTTGTGATGATGATGGGGGTGTTGTGATGGATGATGGGGGTGTTGTTGATGATGATGGGGTGTTGTGTGATGATGATGATGGGGGGTGTGTGATGAGATGATGATGGGGTGTTGTGATGATGATGGGGGGGTGTTGTGATGATGATGGGAGTGTTGTGATGATGATGGGAGTGTTGTGATGATGATGGGGGGGGTGTTGTGATGATGATGGGGGGGGGTGTGATGATGATGGGGGGGGGGTGTTGTGATGCTGATGGGGGTGTTGTGATGATGATGGGGTGTTGTGATGATGATGGGGAGGGTGTTGTGATGATGATGGGGAGTTGTGTGATGATGGGGGGGTGTTGTGATGATGATGGGGAGGGTGTTGTGATGATATGGGGGGGTGTTGTGATGATGATGGGGGGTGTTGTGATGATGATGGGG